CGCTCAAGTTACGAAACACTATATCACAGAAATCATAATGGTTGGAAAGGACCTCTGGTGATTATCTAGTCCAATTCTTCTGCTAAAGCAGGTTCTCTACAGTAGGTTGCACAGGAAAACATTCAGACCGATTCTTAATATCTCCAAAGGAGACTCCCCTGCCTCTCTGGGCAGACTGCTCCAGGCAGGCCTCCAACTAGATTCATCGTCACTGATCACAACCCTCTGAGCTCTCTCAGCAAGTTCTAATCCACCTCACTGTCCACTCATCTATCCACACTTCCTAAGTTTACCTATGAGAATGTTAGAGGAGTCATTGTCAAAAGGCTTACTGAAGGTAGGAAACAACCACTTCTCATATCTACCCAGCTGGTCATGACATCATAGAAGGCTACTAGATTGGTAAAGCATGATTTCCACTTGGTGAACCCATGTTAACTCTTTCTGATAACCTTTGATTCTTCCATTTGCTTAGAGATGACATCCAGAGTATGCTGCTCTATCACCTTTCCAGGAATGGAGATGAAGCTGACTGACCTGTAGTTTCCTGACTTCTCGTTCTTGCTCTTTTTGAAGACTGGAACCATATTGGCTTTTCTCTAGAATTCAGGCACCTCTCCCATTTGCTGTGACTATTCAAAGGTGATAGAGTTGTTCAGCAGTCACTTCTGCCTACTCCCATAGCACTCATGAGTGCATAATTGGGACCTGTGGATTTGTGTGTGTCAGGTTTGGCTAGATGATCCCTGACCAGATCCTCCTCAACCAAGGGGAGATTTTCCTTTGTCCAGATTCTCTCTCTTTCTCCAGATCTGAAACTCCTAAGGAGCAATCTTAATAGTAAAGACTGAAGCAAGGAAGGCATTTAGTAGCTCCACTCATCTCTGTGTAGAACCAAACTATCTGCAAGATGTTTCAGATGTTTCAGATGTTTCATCAGTGATTGTCAGTCTGTGCTCCCATTGGTTTTTGGCTGTAGCAATGCACTGTCATAATTCATATGAGATTTCAATGGCTTCTTGGAATCAGGCAGAAACTGGGCAAATGTGGCTGTCATTTGATTTATGGTTTTCAACATCTATCCCTTTCATATTTGTGTTTGTCATGTCAGCGTTATGTGGATCTCTCAGCTTACATTGCGTTTTTATAGGTTTTATGCAACAACATGATAACATCTGATCCAGAAGCAGATTAAATGTGCTTCTTAAACTGAAGGAGTGTAAAATAAAGTTTCATCTGTTTCTGGGTCAGTTTTTATTTCTAGGAGAGGAAATATGTTTAAAGAAAAAGACTTTATTCTCCTAGTAGTTTTATTTCAAGGATATATACACCTACCGCTGCTGTACTGGAAGGAGCCATAATAGCTTACAAAATATTAATTAAGGAGAGGTTTCAAAAAGGAGGCTGTGATTTCTGGATTTCTTTGCAGTGTATGTTGCTTCTACAAAATGGTCTTGTGTGAAAACATGGGCTCTCAGGTCTCAGTTTCCTCATCTCCGTTCCATTCATGGGCTTACTCATAAATTATACTGGAGTACGTGGTTACCTCTTCTCTTGTAAACTGCACGATATAGGGATACAAGATGTATTGCATTTAAAGCTGGCTTGACTGACCGTACTGGAATTGCTCCTATTGACTTCATTGGCATTAAAACTTTGCCCAGAAATTCTCTTGCTGTGACTGTCTTACTGGAAACCGCTTTGCAACTGTGGTTTAAGGCTGCTGCCAGATCTGTCAACAAGGATTCTATATAACTGTGCACTGCAGATGGAGATTATGAGGCAGGGCTGCCAGAATGATCTTTGGTTGTAAGAGTGTACAAGGCAATGTGATCTGGTAAGCTAAGTAAGCCTCAGTGCAAGGAGGATAAATATTATAATCCTGATTTTGCTTTTTGTTTCCACAAAGCTGTTGAAATCCTAGATTTGTTGAGCTGGGTTTTAAAATATGTTTGTTTTTAATTTTATCTATTAACTTCCTGTCTTTTTTATCTTTATTCCTTGCTTTGGTGGATTCCTTGTGTTTGTGCCTAGAAAGTATTCTTACTCTGTGGCAGACTTGTGAGAAACTATTTTGATTTGGAACATCAGCAGAATTATTTTTCTTAAACAAGACAATACTATTTGGAATTAGCATATCACAAAGGATAATATTTACTCAAGATTTGTGAAGAATAAAGTTGCTGAGCAGCTCTGAGCTGCTGCTTAAGTTGACATTGTCAAGATAGAATTGGAGGGTTACAAAGATACAACCTTCGGCCAGGGAGATGCAGGGAATTGAGTCCCTCAGGGATCTCTGACTGGAGAGAGAGCATTATTAGCTGAATAGGAAAACTGAGTGGAAGCCAATGGTCGTAAAGTAACTTGTCGAGTGGAAGTATCAATTACCTAATAAAAATCTGTGAAATACTTTTTTTCTTTTTCAGGCTAACTCAATTATTGAAATTCATTATTTTTTTCCCATACTATTTGTGTGTTCAAAAATAAGAACATATTCATGGTATCCCCAATGACAATTAAATGTGATAATGTAGTCTCAGGATCACGAAATATCCAAGCTTCAGTTTGTTGGAAGTTGGGAGAATGTACTAAGGAAAGCATTATTCACTGTTTTTATTTTAGAATCTTTCCCTCATCATCTGCTAAAAATTGCTAGAGTTCAGGCATGGTATATCTGAAGTGCAGCACAAAAGCATCCAGTTTTATGACTCCCTAGAATTCACCTATTTTAGTTATTTCAGTGCTTGGAGTCTTCCTCTACTTCTTTTTTTTTCTTTTTTTCTTCTTTTTGTGGAACTCCAGGGATGGATGGAAAGCCCCTGTTTTACCCACTTCTGTTTTTAGAAAAAAATTCACTGTATGTTTCTGAATTTGTTTTCTCAGCCTTATACTAACCTCTGCTTTTTGAAGACTCTTGTTTTTGAACATTGATAGTCTGTTGTTTCAGAAAATTTGGGTCACTATCTGACTTCATGTTCTTAGTGTTTTACTCCTGTTGATGTGCAGTTTACCACTAGCTGTTTGCTATAAAATAGGAGGTGGTTAAATCTTTAAATGCATATACCAATGCATAAAATGGGAGCATCTGAGCTCAAAATGTAGCTCAAATAAGAGTTCCATAGCAAAAGAATGTTGCAGAAGAGTTTTGCAATGCAGGAGTCTAAGCCAAAGCTTCTCAGTTTCTTCACAAATGAAATACGTAATAGTAAAGTTTTATTAATAAAATGGATGAACGGAATCGTCATGCTAATTCTCTCCTCTGAACTCAGGTTCATCATCACATCATCACAGCTTGCCAAAGTACAAAGTCAATGGAATTGCCATAGATGACCATAAGTATGCTCGTAGTCCATCACACATGTAAGGTAACGGGACTTAGCTTAGTCCTGGATGAAATACAGTGTTGTGATGTAGTGTGCACATAGCCGTTGTGTCTTACCTGGCATATGACTTGACATGTTTAGTTTGGGCTCACAAAATGTTTTATATGGTAGATAGGTTGACCTAAAAGAACAATTAGCTTTAGGTAGGGGTGCTACTGTAAAATCGCTTCCAAATTCTGTGCTCATGTTGGAAGAGACAGCTTTTTATTCCTTCTCCTTCACAGGGCAGTAAATCTTTCCTAAGTCTAAACACGTTATTTTCACCATTTCCTAGTGATTTTTTTTTTCCTTTTTTTGGTTACCTATGAAATCTTTACATTCTGTCCTGTATTCAGCACTTTTTTCTTCCGAGAAAACATGATGAAACTAAGACTGGACGTTACAATGGAAATGAAAATCTTTTGACTATATCGGCAGCTTAAGGCAGTAGGAAGACCAGTAACACTAGATCTGTCTAGGAAGTGCAGATAATTTGTGGTGGTTCTTAGCATGATTATTGTATTTCAACTTGCTACATTGCATCAATAGATAACCTCCTTCTTTTGTTGTGGCTGTTTGGTTTTTTGTTTGTTTTTTGCTCATTCAAAGAGTGGTTGTTTTTGGATTTTTTTTTTTCTGGATTACATTTTTTAAAATGTTTTTGAATTGGTAGGTTGGACATCACTAGAAAGCAACAGGAAAATACTGTCATACTTTAAGAAACTAAGGGGATGACCTCTATTCAAAAGAATAATCTGATAATCTTGCAAATGTAGATTGATCTGAGAAGACTGAAATTGAATAACTTAGCTTCTTTCACTAACAACTGCTGAAGGTTTTGGTATATTTTAACAACCAAATAATTTCATCCATACATTTATAAGCTCCTAGGTGTCCCTCAGAAGAGGGTGACTAATTCCAGCAGACAAGGGATGCATACATGTCCATGTATATTGCCTCTTTTATTTTAGAGTACCCTTAAAAGTATGGATGAGGTAATTGAAAGTATTTAAAGCCTTTTTTTTAAAAAAAACAAACAAAACTGAAACAAAAATAAAAGGCTGGGATCACTGCTGTTTTGGATACTTACATTAAGAAGAGCATCCTGGTAAAGATGCCCTATATTAGGCAGGATTTCTTGTGTATGGGATAGCTGCTCTAGTGTGTTACAAAAGACTTCAAGAAGCAGCGTCAGGTTTGATGTGGGTGAGTTTTCAATGCTGCCCTTCCCTTTTTATAGTTGTCTTGCAAAAACAGAATATTGTGGTTTCCATTTAATCACCTTTGAAATAGTTGTCCAATTACACAATAATGTGTTGCTAGTCTTTCATAAGTTTTATATGTTTCAAAATAGACATGGGAGTGGTAAGTGGAAGACATCTGCAATTGAAGACATTGGTTGACAGGAGAAAAAATGGAACATGCTTGCAGTGATCAGTACCGAGTGCAGTTTTAGAGGTCCTCTTCTTCAAAGATAGGTTGCATTAGTTGATATGGGGAGAGCTCTAAATGCCTCTCTGGATTTGTGCCATAGTAGACAAAAATGTCTTCCTCAAGATCTAAGGTTTTGGTATAAGCTTTGATCAAATAAAATATTATTTTATTTAAATGTTGCAAATTTCTGTTCTGTATTTTCAGAAGAATGGTGTAACAAATGGAACTCCCCACAAAAAAACATTTATTGAGCACTTTGAACAAGCACCAATGTATGTTGCTGTTCTTACGTTTGTGGGTTTTGGAGTGGGCACAATATTTGGTTACCTGCGAGATTTTATGAGAGCCTGGGGACTAGAAAAACGTAACGTTGCACAGGAGAGACAACAACAAAAAGTACGTATGAAAAAGAAGTTATGTACCTCAGTGTCTTAGTTCAATCTATTTAAAAAGAAAACTCAGAAACCCCTTACTGTTAAATACATCATCTCTCCCGATCTCTTTACCCTGATCTTTTTTTGTCCCGTTTGACTTTCTTGCCTTGTCTATCGTAGCAATAGGCAGAGCCACATCTTTGTAATTGCTCACTTTCGTTTGTCAAATAGCTGGTCACAAAACATGTGGAAATTGTCCTGGTGCAAAGTGAGTGTAGCCTGAATTCTTGTGAATCCTTGCCTAGAATTTGCGTATTCCTAAATGAAACTTGCACCCCAGCAAGTTTAATTGCATTCTGAATTTGTTTAGATTTTTTTATTGTTCCACCTTCCCTGCCCTGTACAGATTGCACTGTAATTTAAAATAACACTTGGCATAGTGAATGGAAAAATGCAAATAGTGTTTCTGTTCCTCTTACATATAAAATTCTCAAAAAAGATTTTCTGTTTTGACTTTTTGAAGATATGTGCATTTTCAAATGAAATATCATAGTGTTATGATATATTTATTTTGGATTTTCCTTTTGAATTCACTTCATGTTTTGACTATTCATGCACTATTTTGCTTTCAGACATGCTGGTCGAATCTCCATACCATCCACCAGGCATAACACATTTAGTTCATTCTTCAGTCTCCTACATACCATGTCATTTTCTTTTACCAGTTTATTCTATCTAGTGTCTAATATGACTGTATTAGGGTTTCAGATAAATGTCTGTTTTCATTCTGTACCTTCCTGTTAGTTTGTTTTCCAAATTAAAATTCACAGACAGAAACTTACCGTCAACCAAACTTGTTGTCTGGCCAACAGTGCTGAAACCAGGTACACTGGACTTGCTTTAATGTATCAAACATTTACTGAGATACAACCTGTTGTTTATCTCAGGTTTGGAATGTACTCTGCTCATAACAAAGTGCCCCGTTTGAGAAATGTGGATTATGTAAGTGAAAGTATTGTGACTTCATCTTGACCTTCCCAAAGATTGGATTGGAGAATTATGCCAACTTCTGGACCATATGAAATTTAAATAAATAAATAAATAACCTGTACTTCAAAGAAATTAAAGATAATTTCCAATTGGAATTGTTTGTAGCATAAAATATGTGGTGATTGTAACCTTCTGCATACTAATCCATCAGTTTTTCCTATGTAATGGGAATGGCTTGAGTTCCTTAGCAGACACTTTCCTAGCAACGTAACCCTGTGCATGTTTTCAAACCAGGATTTTGTGCCACTTTATCAAGATTTTGAGAACTTTTACACCAGAAACCTCTATATGAGAATACGTGATAACTGGAATCGTCCAATTTGCAGTGTCCCAGGGCCGCAGTTTGACCTCATGGAACGCGTTACAGATGATTACAACTGGACATTTAGGTGAGTTGGCTGACACTCTTCAGCTTTCAGCTCTGTAAATGTTCATCCTGATATATCTCCAAAGCATGGAAAAAAATGCATCTAGTGTGTCATACCAAGACCCCCAACTAATATATACATCAGCACTTTTTTTTTCCTGCAATCGGCACAGTTCTGATAGTCTATCCCCTTTCTTTTGAACACTGTTTAGCAATGAAAATTGGAAGGGTCTGAACTCTGTAACAAACTAGTTTTGCCTATCTTTATCAGCCTAAGTAAGAACTTCGTGTGCTTCATTTATAACATCTGAGCCAGAATATTACAACATTTGTTATATCCCTTTGGACTAGAATAATAATTTCTTGCATTACATAAATGTGGCTTCTATCTTGCATAATGAGTCTCTGGAAGTGAGTTTTAACCAGTTTAAAACTTGAAAATTTCAGTCTATCATATCTGTTACTGAGTTAAATGGATATGGAAATTCATCATGCAGACAGTGTTTAGGGTGGAGTATATCACAGTGTTTCCCATGTCATTCACCTCATGTTTATTCTGTGTGTAAGTACAGTAACACCAGTGGAAGCTGCTGGCGAGCCATTTGAGAAAATTATCTCTCTAAGTTGTACCATAAAAAGTTCTAGGCTTTTTTTTTTTTTTTTTTTTAAATCTACAGAAGTGCCATTTCACCTAATATTGGTATATTGCCATCTGCAGCTCTCCTGCTCATTGTGAGCAGGATGCAATAATTAAGTAAGATGTTAACGTTATAAGGATTGTGAATTCCAAATGAAAGGCTGACAATGGAACAAAATTTGGAAATTTTGTTTGTTTTTGTTTTGAGTGCAAAGAAGGGTCACAGCATTCTTTAAAATTTGCTTTGATTATAGGTTTACAGGAAGAACCATCAAGAATGTAATCAATATGGGTTCTTATAACTACCTCGGCTTCGCAGAAACAGATCCTAACGCTTTGAAAACTGTAACCAAAGAGCTACAAAAATATGGAACAGGAATCTGCAGTACTAGACAAGAAATGGGTGAGTAAATAGCTGGATGGTGACCAAAGCTTCTGTAACTGCATGATTTTTCTTACAGATATCTTGAAGAAACTGGATTTTTTTTAGTCATGTTTTAGTCACATTAACAGGTACTTGTTTGAGTGCCAAAAAGGATGATTTATTAATTATCACAGAACAGTATTTTTAAAATGAGAAGATATTACTGATTTTTGGAAAAGCTAAAATGAGTGGATCATAAAGTGGCCTGGAATTTTTAACTATGAAAGTAACAGGGTTATTTTTCAAAGAGATAAACCAAGACTTGATAATTGTTCTAGAGCAAACTGAATTGCATCTGTCATTGATATATGCTATCTACCACAGAAGGAGTTTCTGACTATGAAGATGAGTTTTCCCATATTTTTTCTATCAATTTTCTAAGAATATATTGTTATGTTTTATGAGAAATTATTGGATACAGAGTATAAATTCCCACTGTGCCTGTAAAGAAGAGATTCAGGAAGGTTCTGTATCTTAGTATTATCTTTAATCTGTCATTTTTGGATTTAATGGTTTTAACTTTGTGGGCTGTGTACCTCATGCATCCTCAATCCTGTATTTTTATACAAAATCTTTTACTGAACCAGTATTAAATGTGGGTATAATCATGCATTTCTAATAGTGCAATCACCCTGCATTCAGAGAAAACTGTTTCCACCCATAGAAATACAGGATGATGTCTCCTTTGGAGCTTTTTTTAATCTTTCTCGAGAGCTATCAAAAAAATAAATACATACATACATATATATATATATATATATATATATATATATGCAACCTGAATTGTTTTTTTTCATTTCATATTTCTCAAAGCAAACATCTTCCTTCCAAATTCTTGTGGGAAGTCGTATTTTTATTTTATGACTCATTTCCAGACAATAATAGTAATAACAATAATGACAATAATGGAAACTTTGTAAACTACTTATCTTGTCATCATGGTTTGATTTGCCAGTAAAATATTGGCAGTGAGACCACACCAAGTGGTTTATAGATTGACCTACTATCTTTCTATTAGGTGACCCATGTGGTGATGTGGTGGCATTATACTGTTTAACATGAATTGCATGCTTAAAAGTTGTACTATTACTAGTCATCTAAGGTATGTTTCCCTGTGTCTTTTTTACTTGAATTCTAGTTTATCTGAGAATATTTTGGGTTCGTTTGAGTGCTTCAAAGAATATGTCTGGTGTTTCCTTTCATTATCATTTGGATATGGAACACTTTCATGACTTTTGACTTACTCTCAAAAAAAAAAAAAAAAAAGCTTATAAGATCATCAAGTCCAACCATTCACCTAACACTACAAGTCCACTGCTAAGCCATGTCCCTGAGCACCAGATCCACAATCTCTTAAGTGTTTCCACTTTTATCCATCTAACTTCACAATGTATGGATTTCTAGGTCTTTATCTGTACTCCTGTGCAATACTCCTGAAGTTATCTTGAAACAGTCAGCAAAGTTTTACTTTCATACTCAAGTGTGTTCACAGTCCCGTGATCTTCACTCTGACTACTCACAGGGCAGGAATGGGCTATGAACAAGTATATCTCTAGGCAGGTCAGCACCCACATAACTGAAATGTGGCTTTTTTTTTTTACATGAGGGACATATTGCAGTTGATATCAAAGTACGTGAAATAAAAGAGATAGCTTAATTTTTTTTGTCTCAGCACAACTTCATCATGCATAATTTACTGCATAGCATAAAGTTTTTTAGAGAATGAATGTCAGAGAGCAGCTAGGATGGGAGGATTTATTAAAATAGGGAAATAATGTTAAGACCTGGCTTAGGTCACATGGAGAAGCAGTCACAGCGTTTTCTCCTAGGCAGCTAGCAGAGGCTCTGTGCCTGAATGGCTGGTGGATAGAGAAAAGTTCCTCCACAGACCAATTCTGCGGAGTGGTTACTTCACTGAACGTGGCTCTGTTGCAGCCTGTTTGCATCTAAGTAAGAACATTAAGTCTTACGAAGAGTGGCTGAGGGAGCTGGGATTGTTCAGTCTGGAGAAGAGGAGGCTCAGGGGAGACCTCATTGCACTCTACAACTTCCTGAAGAGAGGCTGTGGTGAAGAGAGATTTGGCCTCTTCTCCCAGGCAATGAGCAGGACACGGGGCAATGGCCGCAAGTTGTATCAGAGGAGGTTTAGGTTAGACATAGGAAGAACTATTTCTCTCAGAGTGGTCAGGCACTGGAATGGCTGCCCAGAGAGGTGGTGGAGTCACCATCCCTGGTAGTGTTCACAAGGCGTCCAGACAACGTGCTGCGTGATGTGGTTTAGTACTTGTGGTGGCAATGGTGATGAGGAGTGATGAGGACTGTTGGACTAGATGATCTTATAGGTCGTTTCCAACCTTGTGATTCTATGATTCTATGATTATAAGCAACTGAAGGAAAATACTTCTCTGTAGTGTGGATATCTGTTATTTTCTCTTTTTCCTGCTTATGGCACTATAGGTCTGTTATGGATCACACTCAAGCAGTTTGGAAAAATTCTGTTGGCTTTGTTTTGGTTGTTTGCTTTTTAATTGCTTTAATTATTATTTGCCATCTTCATTTTAGTAAAATAGAATAGAATGGCTTTGTTCCCAGGCAGATAACATTTCAAAGCTTTAACTAGGCTGATAACAACAACAACTAAGTGGTGTGAGTTATGAATACAGTGAGCTGTAAGAGTTTGAAAGAATATGTGAAGGTAAACCTGTCCTTTGGGTCTTCTGCCTAAACTGCGCAGACTATGGAGTGGATATTAAATGCTGCCATATTAGGATGTTGTTGCAGGTAGTTTGCTCTTAGAATAAGTTGATATGAAAGTTTTAACATAGTTGTTTATATATTCACAAAACACTTTCATTAAAGAAATTTAGTGAAACTAAACCTTAATAAATGTAGAACAGTTATCTCACGTTCTCAGAAAAGTAACTGAAGACGGTGTATAAACATAGCTCAGAACAGTGAGAGCTGTTCATGCTTTCTATAAAATTATTATGCATGTGTCAGTTGAATGCAATTAAACACAGAAGCGTAAGAACTTGGTAGCAGTTGTGGCTGGTCTTTCTAGATTTGTACTTCATAAAACATTTCAGGACTTTTCTCACCATTTTTAGTTCTTTTTTCTAATTATAACAATAATAAATCACTTTCCTAGTATAACAGTGTCATTTAAGACACATTCCTGAGGCTTTTCTGGGACTTTCGATCTGGAAGAAAAATATTTTTCATTTTTAAGTCCAAGATTACTGTTATCCCTTAGGAGCAAGGTCTTAGGGTTATAAGTGATAGTTCCGTGAAAGCATTAGCTTGTTGTTTAGTGGTCAAAAAGCAAATCAAATACTGGAAATGATTAGGAAGTGAACCAAAAGTTAACCATAGAATCTCAGTATCCTGCTGTATAAAGACATGGTTTGCTGTCATCTTAAGTACTTGGCGCAGTTCTGGTCAAAAGCACTCAGCAGAATTGGAATGTGTCAGAGAAGGGCAACAGGGATCATCAGAAGTCTCAAACAACTTCTGGGTAAAGAACTACTGAACTTGCTGTCTTCAGCTGGCAGAAATACCAGGCATCTGGCTTGGAAAAAGCCAATGGGGGAAAACTATACAAGTCTTCAAAATGATGTGTGGCTTGGAAGAGTGGCTTGAGTTGGCTGCTAGTTGTCTCTTTCCCTACGAGATCTACAGGACATTGTATAAAGTTGGTAGAAGGTTCCAAGTAAATACAGGAGGCAGCTCTTCACACAGGAGAATTGCAGAACCTTTCTTGTGGTGCAGTGCATCTAAAGATAGTTGTTGAGCACTATTTTACTTAATTAGCTTACTATTAATCTGTGTTACTGCTAATATGACTATGGCCATTACTGTATAATCATTAACATTGGACTTGTGCACCAGCAAATCTTCATAGAAATTTGGTTTGAATGAAGAATGTGAGCACATTCATGTTTCCATAAAGTCAGACATTACTTATGGTAAGGATAGAGTGTAAGGAACTTATGAAGCAATGTTCATAAGCAGTATTCATAACCTGGCTGTTTTCAGTGTTTCCGACGACACTGAGTAAGAAGAGGTTAAGCGAAGAGTCTTAAGAGATCAACAAGAAGCCATAGCACATTTGCTTGGAGCATGCCTTCTAAGAGCAGTAGCTTGAGTGAATATTTTAAAGTGATTGTTTGCAGATGGCAAAAATGCTGACATCGTAGTGTGCTTAGAGACGAAAGACTTTTCAGTTCTGCATGGTACGTGTGATGGAAGTACTCCCTGAGAGATTTTGATAGTGAAAATTTGAGCACAAATAGGATCATTTGGGAAAGTTCAAAGCAGATGGAGATGTAGAATGAGGACTTTCTTGGTCAGAGGTACAGGCTAGGAGGAATAATAAAAAGCATTTGAGTACCGTGCATTCAGAGCATTCTGACCACAGCAAGGTTAAACTTAGGAAAGCCAGAACAAAATATGCTGTATTAACTGTCCGAGGTATCAAGTGAGGATAAAGAGAGACGTGCACCAACTGTGTCTGACAAAACTGACCATGGGTGTAATTTAAATTAAAAAGATTTTTTTTTTCATTGCAGTCTCTCTTATGAAAAACTCATTTGACTATTTAATTTGACTAGTTCATTAGACTGATTTAGATAGGACAAAAGCAGATCATTTTGTTTCCCACTTTTACAGGTATAAAAATTGTCTGAGACAGTTTTTGGCAGTTGGATTTATGGAAATGGAAACTACCTATTCAAGTGACTCAGAACATACAGGGTAATTTCATGCAAGCTAGCAGGAAAAAAAAACACAACACAACACCTCTGTACTCTATTTTATTTATTTTAATCCTCTTGTCAAATTAATGAAGAAGTACCTAAATAAATTTGAAATAGCGCGTATTCCTTCTAGATAAATATGAAATCTTTTTCTTCCAAGCAAATTGGAGCATTTTTATGGCTAGCATGGGATTTGGCTGCTGCTGGATACAGGCTGACAAGCCT